GGATCACTGGGATGGGGGAATGATCTACCCAGGAGCCTCCCGAGGGCTTCTCCAAGGAGAATGAGCCCTGGGATCACTGGGAAGGGGAATGACCCCCCTGGGAATCCCGGGGCTTTTCCAATGGGAATGACCCCCTGGGGATCACCGGGATGGGGAATGACCCCCCCCTGGGGATCCCAGGATCATCCCGGGATGGGCTTTTCCAATGGGAATGACCCCCTGGGATCACCGGGATGGGGAATGACCCCCCCTGGGGATCCCGGGACACCCTGGGAGCATCCCGAGGGCTTTTCCATTGGGAATGAGCCCCCTGGGGATCACCGGGATGGGGAATGATCCCCATGGGAGCATCCCGAGGGCTTTTCCAAGGGGAATGACCCCCCTGGGGATCCCGGGACCCCCCGGGAGCATCCCGAGGGCTTTTCCCATGGGAATGACCCCCAGGGATCACCGGGATGGGGAATGATCCCCATGGGAGCATCCCGAGGGCTTTTCCAATGGGAATGACCCCCAGGGATCACCGGAATGGGGAATGACCCCCCCTGGGGATCCCAGGATCATCCCGAGGGCTTTTCCAAGGGGAATGACCCCCCTGGGATCACCAGGATGGGGAATCCCCCCACCTCGGGATCCCGAGATCATCCCGAGGGCTTTTCCAATGGGAATGAGCCCCTGGGAATCCCGGGACAACCCGGGAGCATCCCGAGGGCTTTTCCAATGGGAATGACCCCCCCTGGGGATCCCGGGACACCCTGGGAGCATCCCGAGGGCTTTTCCAATGGGAATGACCCCCTGGGATCACCGGGATGGGCAGGAATTCCTCTCTGGGGATCCCGGGAGCATCCCGAGGGCTTTTCCAAGGGGAATGACCCCTGGGGATCACCGGGATGGGGAATGACCCCCCTGGGGATCCCGGGATCATCCCGAGGGCTTTTCCAATGGGAATGACCCCCCGGGGATCACCAGGATGGGCAGGAATCTCCCCCCTCGGGATCCCGGGAGCATCCCAGGGGCTTTTCCAATGGGAATGACCCCCAGGGATCACCGGGATGGGGAATGACCCCCTGGGGATCACGGGGCTTTTCCAATGGGAATGACCCCTAGGGATCACCGGGATGGGCAGGAATTACCCCCCTGGGGATCCCAGGACACCCCGGGATGGGCTTTTCCAATGGGAATGACCCCCCCTGGGAATCCCGGACCCCCGAGCATCCCGAGGGCTTTTCCAAGGAATGACCCCCTGGGAATCCTGGGACCCCCAGGATCATCCCGAGGGCTTTTCCCGAGGGACTGTGATCCGTTCCCTCCGCAGCTGTGCTCGGAGGTGGACGAGGGCTGCAGGAGAGAGGCCTCATCCTCGGGAATGGCCCTTCCCGCCTCCTTCTCCGTGGGAAGAGCGTTCCAGGCGCTGGTGGAGCAGGAAAGGAGCCGGGAGAGCTTCCCGAGGGCGGCGGCGGCGCTGAGGGACAGCGGTGGGGCTGGGAAGGGAGGGATCGGGAATGAGGGGGTGAGGGGAGGGATCGGGAATGAGGAGGGGGTGGGAGGGGTCGGGGAATGAGGGGTGGGAGGGGTGGGAATGAGGGGCGGAGGGGAGGATCGGGAATGCGGGGAGGGAGGGGATGAGGGCGGGAAGGGAGGATCGGGAATGCGGGGAGGGGATGGGAGGGGGTCGGGAATGAGGGGTGGGAGAGGTGGGAATGAGGGCGCGAAGGAGGGATCGAAGGAATGCGGGAGGGGATGGGAGGGGTCGGGAATGAGGGGCGGGAGGGCAAGGAATGAGGACCAGGAAGGGAGGGAATGAGGGATAGGAGGGGAGGGGATGAGGGGCGGGAGGGGATGGAATCCTGGCCATTCCCACCCTGGAATCCCGCCCAATCCCAGCACAGATTCCCAGTTGATCCCCCTCGGGTTCCTGGCTATTCCCACCCTGGAATCCTGACCATTCCCACCCTGGAATCCTGACCATTCCCACCCTGGAATCCTGGTCATTACCCCCATGGAATCCTGGTCATTTCCACCCTGGAATCCTGGTCATTCCCACCCTGGAATCCTGGTCATTACCCCCATGGAATCCTGGCCATTCCCACCCTGGAATCCTGGCCATTCCCACCCTGGAATCCCGGCCATTCCCACCCTGGAATCCCGGCCATTCCCACCCTGGAATCCCAACCATTCCCACGCTGGAATCCCGGCCATTCCCACCCTGGAATCCTGGCCATTCCCACCCTGGAATCCTGGCTATTCCCACCCTGGAATCCTGACCATTCCCATCCTGGAATCCCGGCCATTCCCACCCTGGAATCTTGACCATTCCCATTCTGGAATCCTGACCATTCCCACCCTGGAATCCTGACCATTCCCATCCTGGAATCCCGGCCATTCCCACCCTGGAATCTTGACCATTCCCACCCTGGAATCCTGGCCATTCCCACCCTGGAATCCCGGCCATTCCCACCCTGGAATCCCGGCCATTCCCACCCTGGGATCCCAACCATTTCCACCCTGGAATCCCGGCCATTCCCACGCTGGAATCCTGACCATTCCCATCCTGGAATCCTGACCATTCCCACCCTGGAATCCTGGTCATTACCCCCATGGAATCCTGGTCATTCCCACCCTGGAATCCTGGTCATTCCCACCCTGGAATCCTTCTCAATCCCAGCACAGATTTCCAGTTGATCCCCCTCGGGTTCCTGGCTATTCCCACCATGGAATCCTGACCATCCCTGCCCTGGAATCCCGGCCATTCCCACCCTGGAATCCTGGCCATTCCCACCCTGGAATCCCGGCCATTCCCACCCTGGAATCCCGGCCATCTCCACCCTGGAATCTGGCCATTCCACCCTGGAATCCTGACCATTTCCCATCCTGGAATCCTGGCCATTCCCATCCTGGAATCCTGGCCGTTCCCACCCTGGAATCCTGGCTATTCCCACCCTGGAATCCTGGACCATCCCCACCCTGGAATCCCGGCCATTCCCACCCTGGAATCCTGGCCATTCCCACCCTGGAATCCTGACCATTCCCATCCTGGAATCCTGGCCATTCCCACCCTGGAATCCTGGCCATTCCCACCCTGGAATCCCGGCCATTCCCACTCTGGAATCCCAGCCATTCCCACCCTGAAATCCCGGCCATTCCCACTCTGGAATCCTGGTCATTCCCACCCTGGAATCCTGGTCATTCCCACCCTGGAATCCTGGCCAATCCCAGCACAGATTCCCAGTTGATCCCCCTGATGCCCCCCACCTTCGGCATTCCCAATCTCCATCTCCCATCCCCCCTTCCCTCAGGATCCTCCAACCTGGAATTCCCAACCCCTGTGCCCACCCACTCCCGAGGGACCCTCGGAATCCCAAATTCCAGGATGCCAAATCCCTAAAAACCGACAAAATCCCTAAAAAACCCCGACAAAATACCTAAAAAAAACGACAAAATCCCTAAAAAAACCCCGACAAAATCCCTAAAAAACCCGACAAAATCCCTAAAAAACCCGACAAAATCCCTAAAAAACCCGACAAAATCCCTAAAAAACGACCAAATCCCTAAAAAAACCCCGTGCGGGAGAAGGGATGGGAGGGCCGGGAGGGCGGGGAGGGGGAATTCCAACGGGAAGGGCGCGGTTTTTCCCAGGATTCCGGACCCGCATCCTGGCCAGCCCGCGGCCGGAGGACGGCGCGGGGCGGCTCCGTCGGGAATTCCCGGCGGGGCTGGAATTCTGCCGGCTCGGGAAGCACCAACCGGAGCCAGGGATTTATTCCCACGCCCCGCGGGCCCGGCCCCACCAGGTGCCCACCACCAGAATTCCCAAAAAAAAAAAAACCACCCCACCCCTTGGGATATTCCCGGGCTGATTCCTGGGATCATCCCAGGCCATCCTGGTGGATGTGCCGGAGGAGAGCCGGGAGCTGGGAATGGGCTGCGGGACACGGACACCCCCAGCGCCCGCCGGCACTTCCAGGGGAGCAGCCAGGGGGGAATTCCTGACGGAGCTCGAGCGGCTCTCCGGGGTCCTGGTGGGGTTCCTGGGATTTCCGGGATTCCTGAGGGAGCTGGAGCAGCTCTGGGGTGTCCAGATGATTCCTGGGATTCCTGAGGGAACTCCATTAGTTCTCCGGGGTCCAGGTGGGGGTTCCTGGGATTTCTGGGATTCCTGAGGGAGCTCGAGCGGCTCTGGGCTGTCCTGGTGGGATTCCTGGGATTCCTCAGGGAGCTCGAGCGGCTCGGGGGGGGTCCAGAGGGATTTCCGGGATTCCTGAGGGAGCTGGAACAGCTCTGGGCTGTCCAGATGATTCCTGGGATTCCTGAGGGAGCTGGAGCGGCTCTGGGGGGTCCTGGTGATTCCTGGGATTCCTGAGGGAGCTCGAGCAGCTTTCAGGGGTCCAGGTGGGATTCCTGGGATTCCTGAGGGAGCTGGAGCAGCTCTTTGGGTCCAGGTGGGGATTCCTTCCCATCCCCTGGGATTCCTGAGGGAGCTCCAGAGGCTCTCCGGGGTCCAGGTGGGGATTTCTGGGATTCTTGAGGGAGCTGGAGGTGTCCTGGTGGGGATTCCCCCCATCCCCTGGGATTTCCGGGATTCCTGAGGGAGCTGGAGCAGCTCTTTGGGTCCAGGTGGGGATTCCTTCCCATCCCCTGGGATTCCTGAGGGAGCTCCAGAGGTTCTCCAGGGTCCTGGTGGGGAATTCCCTCCTATCCCCTGAGGTTCCTGGGATTCCTGAGTGAGCTGGAACAGCTTTGGGGTGTCCAGGTGGGGATTCCCCCCTATCTTTTGGGATTCCTGGGATTCCTGAGGAAGCTGGAGAGGGTCACAGGGATCCAGATGGGATTCTTGGGATTCCTGAGGGAGCTCCAGCGGTTCTGGGGTCTCCAGGTGTGGATTCCCCCCATCCCCTGGGATTCCTGGGATCCCTGGATATCCCAGTGGGATGTGTCCCTGCCCATGGAATGGGATGAGCTTCAAGGTCACTCCCAAGCCAAGTCCTGGCATTCCATGATTCTGGGATCCCTGGATAGGAATGGGATGAACCCTTGGAATGGGATGAGTCCTGCCCCCCAGTTCCTGGCATTCCATGATTCTGGGATCCTTGGATATTCCAGTGGGAGGAATTCCTGCCCATGGAATGGGATGAGCCCTTGGAATGGGATGAGTCCTGACCATTCCTGGCATTCCCTGATCCCTGGAGGGCAGGGATGGACGGGCTCGGGCTCCGGAGTTTTGGTTCCCATGGGATGTCCCGGAAATCCCGGGATTTTCAGGAGCCCATCCCAATCCCTGCTGCCCATCCCACAGCTCCTGAGCCGGGAGGAGCCGATCCCGACTCCGTGTGATCCGTCCGGCGTCGCCCACGGATACGTCCGGATCCGGGTACGGGAATCCCGGGATTGGGACGGGATGGAGCTCCTGGGAATGGGGGGGATCCAAGGGATGGGCTGGGAATGGCTGGGATTGGGATTGGGATGGGTTGGGAATGGCTGGAATTGGGATTGGGATGGGCTGGGAATGGGTGGGATTGGGATGGACTGGGAATGGGTGGGATCCAAGGGATGTGCTGGGAATGGGTGGGATTGGGATTGGGATGGGAGTGTGTGGGATTGGGATGTGCTGGGAATGGGTGGGATTGGGATGGGCTGGGAATGGGTGGGATCCAAGGGATGGGCTGGGAATGGGGGGATTGGGATGGGCTGGGAATGGGTGGGATTGGGATGGGCTGGGAATGGGGGGGATTGGGATGGGCTGGGTGTCCTGGGAATGGGAGGGATTTGGATTGGGATGGGAGTGTGTGGGATTGGGATTGGGATGGGAATGGGTGGGATCCAAGGGATGTGCTGGGAATGGGTGGGATTGGGATTGGGATGGGAATGGGTGGGATCCAAGGGATGGGCTGGGAATGGGTGGGATTGGGATGTGCTGGGAATGGCTGGGATTGGGATTGGGATGGGAATGGGTGGGATTAGGATTGGGATGGGAGTGTGTGGGATTGGGATTGGGATGGGAATGGGGGATCCAAGGGATGGGCTGGGAATGGGTGGGATTGGGATGTGCTGGGAATGGCTGGGATTGGGATTGGGATGGGAATGGGTGGGATTGGGATTGGGATGGGAGTGTGGGATTGGGATTGGGATGGGAATGGGGGGATCCAAGGGATGGGCTGGGAATGGCTGGGATTGGGATGGGCTGGGAATGGGTGGGATCCAAGGGATGGGCTGGGAATGGGTGGGATTGGGATTGGGATGGGAATGGGTGGGATTGGGATGGGCTGGGAATGGGTGGGATTGGGATGGGATGGGAATGTGTGGGATTGGGATTGGGCTGGGAATGGGGGATTGGGATGTGCTGGGAATGGGTGGGATCCAAGGGATGTGCTGGGAATGGCTGGGATTGGGATTGGGATGGGAGTGTGTGGGATTGGGATGTGGTGGGAATGGGTGGGACTGGGATGGGCTGGGAATGGGTGGGATTGGGATGGGCTGGGAATGGGTGGGATTGGGATGGGCTGGGAATGGGTGGGATCCAAGGGATGGGCTGGGAATGGGTGGGATTGAGATTGGGATTGGGATGGGAATGGGTGGGATTGGGATGTGCTGGGAATGGGTGGGATCCAAGGGATGGGCTGGGAATGGGTGGGATTGGGATGTGCTGGGAATGGGTGGGATCCAAGGGATGGGCTGGGAATGGGTGGGATTGGGATGGGCTGGGAATGGGTGGGATCCAAGGGATGGGCTGGGAATGGGTGGGATTGGGATTGGGCTGGGAATGGGTGGGATTGGGATGGGCTGGGAATGGGTGGGATCCAAGGATGGGAATGGGTGGGATTGGGATGTCCTGGGAATGGGTGGGATCCAAGGGATGTGCTGGGAATGGGTGGGATTGGGATGGGCTGGGAATGGGTGGGATTGGGATTGGGCTGGGAATGGGTGGGATTGGGATTGGGCTGGGAATGGGTGGGATCAGGATGTGCTGGGAATGGTGGGATTGGGATGGGCTGGGAATGGGGGATTGGGATGGGCTGGGAATGGGTGGGATTGGGATTGGGATGGGAATGGGTGGGATCCAAGGGATGGGCTGGGAATGGGTGGGATTGGGATGGGCTGGGAATGGGTGGGATCCAAGGGATGGGCTGGGAATGGGTGGGATTGGGATGTGCTGGGAATGGGTGGGATCCAAGGGATGGGCTGGGAATGGGTGGGATTGGGATGTGCTGGGAATGGGTGGATCCAAGGGATGGGCTGGGAATGGGTGGGATTGGGAATGTCTGGGAATGGGTGGGATCCAAGGGATGGGCTGGGAATGGGTGGGATTGGGATTGGGATGGGAATGGGTGGGATCCAAGGGATGGGCTGGGAATGGGTGGGATTGGGATGTGCTGGGAATGGGTGGGATTGGGATTGGGATGGGAATGGGTGGGATCCAAGGGATGTGCTGGGAATGTCTGGGATTGGGGTGGGCTGGGAATGGGTGGGATCCAAGGGATGGGCTGGGAATGGGTGGATTGGGATTGGGATGGGAATGGGTGGGGTTGGGATGCTGGGAATGGGTGGGATTGGGATGGGAATGGCTGGGATTGGGATTGGGATGGGAATGGGTGGGATTGGGATGGACTGGGAATGGGTGGGATTGGGATGGGCTGGGAATGGGTGGGATCCGAGGATGGGCTGGGAATGGGTGGGATTGGGATTGGGATGGGAATGGGTGGGATTGGATTAGGATGGGAATGGGTGGGATTAGGATGGGCTGGAAATGGGTGGGATTGGGATGTGCTGGGAATGGGTGGGATTGGGATGGGCTGGGAATGGGAGGATTGGGATGGGCTGGGTGTCCTGGGAATGGGAGGGATTTGGATTGGGATGGGAGTGTGTGGGATTGGGATTGGGATGGAATGGGTGGGATCCAAGGGATGTGCTGGGAATGGGTGGGATTGGGATTGGGATGGGAATGGGTGGGATCCAAGGGATGGGCTGGGAATGGGTGGGATTGGGATGTGCTGGGAATGGCTGGGATTGGGATTGGGATGGGAATGGGTGGGATTGGGATTGGGATGGGAGTGTGTGGGATTGGGATTGGGATGGGAATGGGGGATCCAAGGATGGGCTGGGAATGGCTGGGATTGGGATGGGCTGGGAATGGGTGGGATCCAAGGGATGGGCTGGGAATGGGTGGGATTGGGATTGGGATGGGAATGGGTGGGATTGGGATGGGATGGGAATGGGTGGGATTGGGATGGGATGGGAATGTGTGGGATTGGGATTGGGCTGGGAATGGGGATTGGGATGTGCTGGGAATGGGTGGGATCCAAGGATGTGCTGGGAATGGCTGGGATTGGGATTGGGATGGGAGTGTGTGGGATTGGGATGTGGTGGGAATGGGTGGGACTGGGATGGGCTGGGAATGGGGGGATTGGGATGGGCTGGGAATGGGTGGGATTGGGATGGGCTGGGAATGGGTGGGATCAAGGGATGGGCTGGGAATGGGTGGGATTGAGGATTGGGATTGGGATGGGAATGGGTGGGATTGGGATGTGCTGGGAATGGGTGGGATCCAAGGGATGGGCTGGGAATGGGTGGGATTGGGATGTGCTGGGAATGGGTGGGATCCAAGGGATGGGCTGGGAATGGGTGGGATTGGGATTGGGCTGGGAATGGGTGGGATTGGGATGGGCTGGGAATGGGTGGGATCCAAGGGATGGGAATGGGTGGGATTGGGATGTCCTGGGAATGGGTGGGATCCAAGGGATGGGAATGGGTGGGATTGGGATGTCCTGGGAATGGGTGGGATCCAAGGGATGTGCTGGGAATGGGTGGGATTGGGATTGGGATGGGAAGTGGGTGGGATCTGAGGGATGGGCTGGGAATGGGTGGGATTGGGATGTGCTGGGAATGGGTGGGATTGGGATTGGGATGGGAATGGGTGGGATCCAAGGGATGTGCTGGGAATGTGTGGGATTGGGATGGGCTGGGAATGGGTGGGATCCAAGGGATGGGCTGGGAATGGGTGGGATTGGGATTGGGATGGGAATGGGTGGGGTTGGGATGTGCTGGGAATGGGTGGGATTGGGATGGGAATGGCTGGGATTGGGATTGGGATGGGAATGGGTGGGATTAGGGATGGACTGGGAATGGGTGGGATTGGGATGGGCTGGGAATGGGTGGGATCCGAGGGATGGGCTGGGAATGGGTGGGATTGGGATTGGGATGGGAATGGGTGGGATTGGGATTAGGATGGGAATGGGTGGGATTAGGATGGGCTGGAAATGGGTGGGATTGGGATGTCCTGGGAATGGGTGGGATTGGGATGGGCTGGGAATGGGTGGGATTGGGATTGGGCTGGGAATGGGTGGGATCAGGGATGGGCTGGGAATGGGTGGGATTGGGATTGGGATTAGGATGGGAATGGGTGGGATCCAAGGGATGGGCTGGGAATGGGTGGGATTGGGATGGGCTGGGAATGGGTGGGATTGGGATGGACTGGGAATGGCTGCGATTAGGATGGGCTGGGTGTCCTGGGAATGGGTGGGATTGGGATTGGGATGGGAGTGTGTGGGATTGGGATGGGCTGGGAATGGGTAGGATCCAAGGGATGGGTTGGGAATGGGTGGGATTGGGATTGGGATGGGAATGGGTGGGATCCAAGGGATGTGCTGGGAATGGGTGGGATTGGGATTGGGATGGGAATGGCTGGGATTGGGATTGGGATGGGAATGGGTGGGATCCAAGGGATGGGCTGGGAATGTCTGGGATTGGGATGTGCTGGGAATGGGTGGGATTGGGATTGGGATGGGAATGGGTGGGATCCAAGGGATGTGCTGGGAATGGGTGGGATTGGGATGTGCTGGATGTGCTGGGAATGGGCTGGATGTGCTGGGATTGTGTGGGATTGGGATGTGTGGGAATGTGTGGGACCCACGGGATGTGCCAGCCCGGGATGGGAATGTGGCAGGCTCTGGGATTGGGATGTGGAGCTGCTCCAGCCATCCCAGCTGCTCTGGAATTCTGGGCTGGAGTGGGGGGTGGGCTCTGGAATTCTGGGCTGGAGCAGTGGTGGGCTCTGGAATGCCGGGATGGAAGGGAATGGCAGACCCTGGAATGTTGGGATAAAAGGGAGTGGCAGACCCTGGAATGTTGGGATAAAAGGGAGTGGTGGACCCTGGAATGCCAGGATAGAAGGGAATGGCAGACCCTGGAATGTTGGGATAAAAGGGAGTGGTGGACCCTGGAATGCCGGGATGGAAGGGAATGGCAGACCCTGGAATGTTGGGATAAAAGGGAGTGGCAGACCCTGGAATGTTGGGATAAAAGGGAGTTGGTGGGCTCTGGAATTCCAGGCTGGAGAGGGTGGTGGGTTCAAAGGGGAGGAGGGCTGGGGAATTCCTGTCTGGAGGAGGCGTGGGCTCGGGAATTTCTGGCTGGAATTCCGGTGTGGTGCAGAATTCCCGGCGTTCATTCCCATTCCCGTTGTTCCCGTGGGCAGCCCGGGGTGCAGCTGCACTTCGTGGAGCTGGGCCAGGGCCCCCCCGTGCTGCTGTGCCACGGATTCCCGGAATCCTGGAGATCCTGGCGCTTCCAGGTGAGCTCTGGCACATCCCAGGGCCCTTCCCGGAGCTCTGGGAGATCCCGGGGCTGTTCCCGGAGCTCCAGGAGATCCTGGGGCCCTTCCCGGAGCTCTGGGAGATCCCGAGGGTGTTCCTGGAGCTCCTGGAGATCCCAGGACTGTTCCCGGAGCTCTGGCAGATCCTGAGAGTGTTTCTGGAGCTCCAGGAGATCCTGGGGCCCTTCCCGGAGCTCCAGGAGATCCTGGGGCTGTTCCCGGAGCTCCAGGAGATCCCAGGGCTGTTCCCGGAGCTCTGGGAGATCCCAGGACCCTTCCCAGATCTCCAGGAGATCCCAGGACCCTTCCCGGAGCTCCAGGAATCCCGGGGCTGTTCCCAGAGCTCCAGGAGATCCCGGGGCTGTTCCTGGAGCTCCAGGAGATTCCAGGGCGCTTCCCAGAGCTCTGGGAGATCCTGAGGGTGTTCCTGGAGCTCCAGGAGATCCTGGGACCCTTCCTGGAGCTCAGAGAGATCCCGGGGCCCTTCCCAGAGCTCCAGGAGATCCCAGGGCTGTTCCCAGAGCTCCAGGAGATCCCAGGACCCTTCCCGGAGCTCTGGCAGATCCTGGGGCTGTTCCTGGAGCTCCAGGAGATCTCGGGGCTGTTCCGGGCTCTGGGAGATCCCAGGACCTTCCAGATCTCAGAGATCCCAGGACCCTTCCCGGAGCTCCAGGAGATCCTGGGGCCATTCCCGGAGCTCCGGGAGATCCTGGGGCTGTTCCCAGAGCTCCAGGAGATCCTGGGGCCCTTCCCAGAGCTCCGGGAGATCCTGGGGCTGTTCCCAGAGCTCCAGGAGATCCTGGGGCCCTTCCCAGAGCTCCAGGAGATCCCAGAACCCTTCCTGGAGCTCTGGGAGATCCCGGGGCCATTCCCGGAACTCTGGCAGATCCCGGGGCTGTTCCTGGAGCTCCAGCAGATCCTGGGGCCCTTCCCAGAGCTCCGGGAGATCCCAGGGCTGTTCCCAGAGCTCTGGGAGATCCCAAGGCTCTTCCCAGGCCTCGGCACCCTTTGGAATCTGCTCTTTCCCTCCCAGATCCCGGCCCTGGCCGATGCCGGATTCCGGGTGATCGCCCTGGAGATGAAGGGATACGGGGAATCCACCGCTCCTCCCGGTGGGCTGGGAACGGGATGGGAATGGGGCTGGGAATGGGTTGGGAACAGGCTGGGAAGGGGCTGGGATGGGGCTGGGAAGGGGCTGGGAAGGGACTGGGAATGGGGCTGGGAATGGGGCTGGGAAGGGGCTGGGAATGGGGCTGGGAATGGACTGGGAACAGGCTGGGAATGGGGCTGGGAAGGGGCTGGGAATGGGCTGGGAAGGGGCTGGGAAGGGGCTGGGAAGGACTGAATGGGCTGGGAATGGGGCTGGGAATGGCTGAATGGTGCTGGGATGGACTGGGAACAGGCTGGAATGGCTGAGAGGGCTGAAGGGGCTGAATGGGCTGGGAATGCGCCCGGAGGTGGCGAATGGTGTGAGGCCTCTCAGAGGGTGGGAATGTGCCCCAGGGTGGGAATGTTTCCCACCCCCGGGATGGGCCCGATCCCTGGGCCATTCCGGGCTGGAGCCGCCGCCTCTCCCGCAGATATCCCGGAATATTCCCAGGAGCAGATCTGCAAGGTGAGCAGCTGCTGGGAATGGGAATGGGAATGGGAATGGGAATGGGAATGGGGAGGGATGATCCCATCTGGGATCTGACCCCCCCACTCTCCTCTCCTCTCCTTTTCCCAGGACCTGGTGGTTTTCCTGGATAAACTGGTGAGGAGATCCCCGGGATGGGGATGGGAAGTTTGGGATGTGTCCCCCCAACTGCCAATCCTGGGATTCCAGGATGATCCTGAGGGGGCTGGGATGGCCAGGGAAGGATTCTAGGATGATCCTGAGGAATCTGGGATGGCCAGGGAAGGATTCCAGGATGATCCCAAGGGGTCTGGGATGGTCAGGGAAGGATTCCAGGATGATCCCAAGGGGCTGGGATGGTCAGGGAAGGATTCCAGGATGATCCTGAGGAATCTGGGATGGCCAGGGAAGGATTCCAGGATGATCCCAAGGGATCTGGGATGGCCAGGGAAGGATTCCAGGATGATCCGAGAGAAAAAAAGGGGGAAAAGGAGAAATAAGAGGGAAGAGGAAGGTAAAAAAACAAGGAAAGGGGGAAAAGGAGGAAAAAACAAGGAAAGGGGGAAAAACAAGGAAAGGGGGAAAGGGGGGAAAATAGGAAAAAGGAGGAAAAAGGGGAAAAAAAACAAGGAAAGGGGGAAAAGGAGGAAAAAAGAAGGAAAGGAGGGAAAACAAGGAAAGGAGAAGGAAAACAAGGAAAGGAGAAGGAAAACAAGGAAAGGAGAAGGAAAACAAGGAAAGGGGAAGGAAAACAAGGAAAGGGAAGGAAAACAAGGAAAGGAGAAGGAAAACAAGGAAAGGGGAAGGAAAACAAGGGAAAGAGAAGGAAAACAAGGAAAGGAGAAGGAAAACGAGGAAAGGAGAAGGAAAACGAGGAAAGGAGAAGGAAAACGAGGAAAGGAGAAGGAAAACGAGGAAAGGAGAAGGAAAACAAGGAAAAGGGGGAAGGAGGAAAAAGCAAGGAAAAGGGGAAGGAAAGCAAGGAAAAAGGAAGATGAAGAAAAGCAGGAAAAGGCAGGAAAGGAGGAAAGAGCCGAGGAAAAGGAGGAAGCAGGAGGTCCCTGAGTGCCTTTCCCGCAGGGAATTGCGCGGGTGGTGCTGGTGGGACACGACTGGGGCGGGGCCGTGGCCTGGAACATGGCCCTGACACACCCGGAACGGGTCAGGTGGGGATAATGGGATAACGGGATACTGGGATGACTGGGATACTGGGATAATGGGATAATGGGATAATGGGATACGGGATAATGGG